TTGGCCATGTGCAGGAGTTGCTTCCTTCTGACCTGACAGCTAGGGAGACGTTGGAAATTTTCCACGGCCATTCATTATCCACTTTCCATATGACCATAAGCCCATTTCCATATGACAGGATACGTGAATACCCAGAATTGTCGAATATGGGCAACAGAAAATCCACTGGCAACGCACCCCGTACCACTTCATCCTGAAAAGGTCACGGTATGGTGTGGCTTTACGGCATTAGTCATCCTACAACCATATTTTTTCGAGCAGACGGGTGCTTCCGGTCCTGTTACCGCAATCATCACTGGTCAGAGGTATGCGTCTCTTTTTGCGCAACCACGTGATTCCAGCTCTGCAACAGCGTGGATGTGTGAATGAAATCATTTTTATGCAAGATGGCGCTCCTCCGCACATTGCATATCCCGTGAAGCAGCTGCTGAGGCGCCATTTCGGAAATGCTCGAATTATCAGCCGTCATTTCCCTACAGCCTGGCCGTCCCGATCGCCTGATCTTACTCCGTGTGATTTCTGGCTGTGGGGATATCTGAAGGATGTTGTGTTCCATGCTCCAATTGCAAATTTAGCGGAATTAAAGGCACGCATTTCGCAAAACATTCTGAACATCACCCCGGAGACACTGCGATCCGTTGTGGAACATGCTGTTTGTTGCTTTCAACTTGTTGCACACAACGGTGGACACCATATTGAACATGTTTTGCGACAGTTCCGAACTTCTTTGATGAATGGTTCTTATGCGGTATGCCGCCGCAAAACTCTTGAAACCAATCGATTTGTCCCTTCCGATGTGATATGTACAGTCATGCAAATAAAATTATTCAACAATTCTAATTTGTCAATGCGTTTTAATGTGTAACTGCCACCTTAGCCGTTGTTTTACGAAACATTTCTCGTTTCTCGTCGTGATTCTGCCGCTTACAGCGCCATCTGTTGCTAACTTTTGATACTAAATTTTTTTCTTCTGCCATACTCGTTCCGCCTTCTTCAATAACATTCCTTTCAAATTTCACATCATTTTCATCAGTGGTTCTTTTTTTTATAGCGTTTTGAAGCTTAAACTTTAATTATAATCACCCTGTATATTATCTCTAACACTTGTCATTGCCTGGAAATGGGCAGTAATATGTAACATAAATATGTATATTAGTGTGTTGTAATGTTGTGCACAGTATTCATGTATCAACTGTTAAATTAAGTTACATAAAGAGCATCTTAAAGAAGGTTAATTCATTACAATCTCTTGGTGATTTACTGATTTTTGTTTTACAAGTGGAAGATAAAATTAATAGCAAAATAGTAAGTACAAGTGTTATTTTAGTTTAATTATATGTATATGTTTAATACTTTTTATATTAAAAGGTTGACATTTTATTAAAATGTTTTTGTTTTTTTCTTTAGATCGCACGTGCGCATTTAGTTTTTTTTTTTTTTTTTTTTTTTTCCCCCAACTTGCACATTCACGCCTGCTCTAATTACTGAAATATTTTATGCTTTATTATGTTAAAGACTTAAATGTTGTATATACATGCATGCAATTTTCGTTGAGCTATTAACCCATTAACCACCAAAACTACAAGGAATATTTCTTTTCTCATGAAAATAATAACAAATATTAAATTAAGCATTTATAACATAGATTTAGATTGAAAATTTAAAAAATGCTCTTACCTGTGGAAAAAGCGAGTGTTGCGTTCGCGCAACGTCAGCGGAATAAGACTACGGATGTTCAGTGAGTAGGATTGTACTCGTGTGATTTTTCTTTTAGTGGAGCACAGGATTACTTTTTATCTGTATAACATTTTATAAATCTACAAATCACTTTACTTGTAATTAATTTAATATTAAAATATACAGTATTATTTCTTTTACAAATACAGATTATTTCAATTGAAAGATTCCATGAAAAGCTTGATTATAATCATGATGTAAAGCTACATTACATACTTTGCATCTATAAACAGTCTGGCTTGGTACTCTTTACAACAAAGTCTTTTGTTATCAACGGACTTTACGATAAAATGTCTACCATCTCCATGCAACGTTTTTGAATGCTGAATTTACTAGGTCTTCCTGTTGCTGATCTATTTCTGGCTAATTCTACACTCTCAATAGGAGTTTGCAAAAGGAATAATGCAGTCTCGTGTCTGAAATCTAAAAGAAACTTTATATTTCCAGTAGTAAAAAGTGGTGATAGTAAGTTTAGATACGGTCTCACCTCAGATAATTTGTCAGTATTGTCAAATGCAAGTTCTGCTTCATATTCCTGTACTGCAAACATGATATCGATTCTCGTATAACAGGAACAGAAATGTCCTTATCAAAAGACTAATACATTTCTCTTGAAGTAAAGAATGATATCCTGTAAGCAATAATTTTCCAATAAATCTTCTCATATAGGCTTCAGATGCAATAAATTCTGGGCAATTTTTTTGCTGGGTGTGTATATATTTGTCTGTTCAGTGAGAAGAGAGTAAACGTCTGAACCAAAAAGAAAATTGAAAATCTCTCCAGTAGTTTTACCTTGTATTTTGTCTTTTATAGTTTCTCTTCTATCTCTTTTTTCATGTTCTTCCTGAGACATAACTAACAGTTCCTTTTCTATCCACTTCAAGATTTCAGTCTTCTGCCTTTTAAACTTTTTAGTATGACTATTGAAACTTACTTCTTACGTCAATTTCAACTTCCCCAGCAGTATCATTTGGTAAAATATCATTATCATTATTTAAAACATTGCCATCCCTTTCTTTTTCGTCACTAGTTTCTGTAATTTCTGGGGGAACAACAACAATATCAGTTTCATTCTTGTTATTATTAACATTATCATCATCCGTTTCTTCATCAAAAAATCTTTGAAGGGCTTCTTCTAATATTAGATACCTTGTTCTAGGCATTTTTAAACAACCAGAGCATGAACCAGAACATCGAAAGGAATGAGTGAAAAAGGAGATTGACTACCCGTTTCCTGCTGACGTTGCGTCAGCGCAACACCTGTTTACCCTTCCTTCCCAACACAAATATAAACATCTGACTGATGTAATGTTCTGGTAAACGGTGACCTTGACTAAAAATAGATCACTCATAAAGACGACGATTCTTTCGTTAAATATTTTCAGCAAAAATACCCATTCGAAAATTTTGCTTAAAGTATGAGATTAATTAATTATAACACAAAATGATTGTTGAAGGCAATATTTTTTTACAGAAATAATCTTCATAATATTCCCTACACAAAATCATCTGCTGGTATAAAATATCTTAGGTAGTTATATTTATATACGCTTCTATTTTGACCGTTGCGTCAACGCAACACCAGCAGCTAATGGGTTAACCAACAAACTTGTTGTTTTTTTCATGCTTCTTACTGGCATGCTCTATATTGGTAACTGTTAATGATCAGACATCCCTTCGAAATGAAAGTAGGATCACACATGGGTCCCTAATGCATATCATTGGCCTATAAAAAGATTGTGAGCATTCTCTAGAAATGCATGCTAGCTTCAGTTATTGAAAATGAGAGCTGAATGAAGTTAAATTAGGCAGGATTATTGCTGCCCACTCATTTGATAATTCCATCTATGAACTATTTGGCAGTTCCCAGATTTTACATGCAATGGTGAGTGATGTAGTGATAAATTGCAAATGTTGAGGTGTTATAAAACTTCAGCCCTGACCAAGGAATAGAAAAAGACAAATTGGTTTCTTTCCATGTGTAGTAAAGTCAAGCTGCTGAGGTTTGTTAGAAACTGTGAATACAGGCATTGACATCAGAAAGTTACAATAGTACTTATACCATTTGTTTATGGGTGTTTAAATTCATATACTGGTTCCATGTGCAATCTACAGCACATAAATCAATTATCATTAAACTGAATGCTTGTTGCCATTGTAAGTAAAGCAAAATTCATTGCCCTTGATCTCTAGAATGATGTAAAAGCAATTTGTGAAGTGATAATTCACATTACATGTTGCAATATTCTGATGGATAGGTTTAGATGAATGCCAGATGAGGTGTAATTACCAGAGTTTCCACTGTAAAATGTGACAAAAAAGGGATTTTTGGCATAAGTTTTTGTTTTTGAGGTGGTTTTGTGCCTCAAATCCTGAATGAAGACTGTGATAGAATATCAAGCAATTCTGTGCTATTAAAAATTTGAAACTGCCTTCTATCATTTTTAACGTGACAGTTCACCGTTCATGAAGTGAATGCCACAACCAACTAATGTGGGGAAATGCGAGTGAATGAACTCAACTGGCCAACCCATTCGACCATCTCTGGGATAAGTTAGAGTAACATTTGAGAGCTAGGCAACACTACTACCACAGAACTGTTCACCGCATTGCAAGAGGAATGGAAGAAAGCACTTGAGACACCTACCAAAACTTAGTGAAAAATCTCTTTCTAAGGATAGCCACTGTGACAGTGGTTTAACTGATATCGTACATTTGGCATAGTGATACAAATATCCTATAGGTGACCAGTCATAAATTCTAAGAAGTATATTGCTTGAGCATTTTGACAAAAAATCAGAGACTAGCCACTAATCCAAAGTTGTTTACTTTGACAACTGATGGTTCTGTCTTGAATAAAACAGAATTTATTATTAAATTTAAAAGTGACATTTGGAAATTTTCATCAAGTATTCCTATGAATTTTACATGTTAAGATATTTAAATTTGCTTTCTAATTAATTAAAACCCTTCTACCAACAGTATTGAAACTCTTCATAAAATTATGTTATTTATTAAAAAAAAAAAAAAAAATTGTAACCAGCTATTCATTCAAGAACAGAGTTTAAGAAAAAAAAAATGTCTGTAACCACAGTTTTAAAATGTGCTTTTTGTATTTTTAATAGTTAAATTGTATTTATGAATATCAAGAGAAAAAGTATATTTAAAAAGCAAAGGATGTTGTATTATTAAATTATTGCATTCACTTTTTGTAGCATGCATTAAAATGATGAATATAATTAATATGTGTAATTTTTTTGTAGGCTTTTCTTGGCAGATATTAAGAATGCAAAATTTCAAGCACATAAAGCAGATATGATAACAAAAATGCAACAGTATTTGAATTCAACGCGCTGTCGAAGACAAATGCTTTTATCTCATTTTGAAGGACATGAAGTCACTAATGTTGGAGGAAGAGAGATATGTTGTGATAATTGTAGAAAAAGGTGTTTTTTTAATCATTTTGATTATTTTGCTATGTCAGTTTTTGTTTGAAAAGTTGAGTTGCTTCTTATTTAACAGTTGGGGGGGGGACTAATTCTGTATAAATTTCATAACCATATTAGAACAAGTTTAGAATTTTTGAGGGCATCTCAAGAACTATTAAACTAGGAAATTTAAATGGGGTTTTCTATTTCATATTTTTCATTGCTTTAAAGTATTTAACTTTTATGGCTAAGAAAATTGAAGTAAATGGCTTGAAGCTTATTTTTTAAATGTATTTATAAGCAACAGTGTTACTTTGAATTTTTTAATTGTATTTAAAAACATGGTACAAAATATTAAGTTTCTGATATGTGAAAAATCACAATAGAAAAGCATTTGAATTAAAACCAAATCCAAAATGTTTTTTAAGACAATGTGTAGTTTGAAATAAGAGCAGTGTTATCAAGTCTATCATTTTTTAGTTTATTTGTTTAAATTTAAGAATGAATGAACCTTTTGAAAAATTAAATATTATTTTTTGTTATAATTTCTTAACGTTTTGAAGTTGAAATAAAAGCTTGTAACGTAAAAAAGTTAATAAAAAATTTTAATTTCTTCCTGTTTAAGAAAAATGCATATAAATTGAAAAGTTAGGAAACATTTAGGATTTCTAATTGCTGGTTAGATCGAGAGCTTTTATGATTACAGTTTATCTAGATAATCTCTGTGGCAACATTATTAGTTGTTGAGATATACAGAGTTTTTGAAATAGTATTTATTAAAATTAGAAAATTTCTTAAAATCTGTTTCCAAAAAATGTTGTCTATATTTGTTTGTTCTGTATCCATTGTAGGTTGAAGAGAGCTAAAAATATTCTGAAGGCAGGATCCTCACAAAACAGTTTAGATGACAAGAAAGATTTCACTGAAGAAGCAAAGCTACTGTTTGCTGTCATAGAGGTGAATTTTACATTTTGAAACGAATAAGGATGCTGACTTTTTTCAATATTAATTACAGAAAATGTGCATTCAAAATTTTCTTTTCTGTGTGGTATGAATTACAGTAAACCGTTGCTGAACAAAATCGCATTTCACAAAGTTAACTCTCTGTGGGAAAACTGTGTTAGATATAATTCAGATTAAGAAAGTAATTATAAGTGAAACAAACCTAAATATTGTGATTAAAAAGGGGGAAATGAAATGAATATATTAACACAACCTGCGTGGGAAGCGACTAAAAAGTGGCTTTGTTCAGTTTGGTAGTCCAGCACAGGAAGCAACTAAAGTCGTTTTGTGCAGATTGGTAGTCAAGCATCGATAGTGACAAAAGTCATTTTCAACAAATTGTAGAGACATTAGGATATTTTGGAAGCCAAAGAGATGAAAAATTAGCAACCACCTTCGCCAAGAATCGAACCACGGACCTCTGAAATACCGGCTCAGTGTGCAGAACCACTACACCACGAAGGACGCTAGGAAAGTGGGAGAAATACCTTATAAAATTATTGGTGAATTATTAATGAAGGGGTTTTGTAATGTTTTTACAATGAGGTCCGGTACACATGAGCACTAGCTCGATGCCCATATGTTTCAACGTTAAAATGTGCATTTTGAAAATGCATTCTTTTGAATGTGCTTTGTTGATGCTGTTATGCTATGACAAACATAGTATTCGGCACCCGGGCGTCCAGCTATGCATTGGCGTATATCTCTCAAGTAAATATGAAGAAATATTTGGAGCTTATTCTTCTTATGGGATAAGGATGTTAAGGACCGAAAAGAGTATTATTGGAACATGGAATTCCCTATAGTTTTTCCAAAAATAATAGCTAGAGACAGATTTCACGTGTTACGGAAGGCCTGGCACTACAGCTATTTTGTGCAGAAGTAAATTTGTGCATGAATTGAAAACAATTGCCTGCTAGCTTTTGAGAGTGGTTTCAAAACATCCACACAAGATGTGTTAATTTAAAGGATTTATTTTAGGTGATACAATTCTTTTTTTTTAAAATGGTGATTTTTACCTGGGAAATAACTGACACAATTCTTTAAAAGTTTTATGGTAACAACTACAGTTTTTCAATGCCTATCATAAAGTGTCATTTTCTTTCTTCATTTGAACCCATCTCCATTGCAAAATCATACAGTTCCCGTGCCTTATTCTGTTTTAACAATGCATATAATTTCTTGTAAAGTGCTTTTATCGTTTTCATCAACACCGCTTTTAATGTTGTCTGGTATTGTATGATTATTCATTCTTCATTAGTCTTTTCTCAATTATTATTTTTTTTTACTACTCTTTCTTCCATCTTTGATCTCTTCTTAAAAATCTCTTGTTACCAGTTGCCCTTGCAATTTCTTTGGCTTCATTTTCAATCATTAGAAGTCCTTAAAAATTTCTGATAACTTCTGGTCATAGCTGATGCAAGCAAACATTCAATACTGACAAATAAACATTGAATTACATATGAAATTCTAGTGTTGGACATATTTAGTGAAAAAATTATGATAACACTATATGCAAAATCATTTTCCACAGATCTGCTCGAGAAGGGTATACTGTACTTTTGTCAGATGTTCGTTCAAGTTTGAGATTGATTTTTATAATCTGCAATTTTTATATCTAACAAAATTATGTTGTAAGAAGAAAGATAATTATACTATCTAGGGTTTCTTAATACTAGTTCATTAAGCTTCAATTCAAAAAAATTCATTTAAAGAGTTGAAAATAAAATTTATTAATTTTAGTTATCTAATCGTTCAATAAATCCATTTGAATACTCTACAGTGCATTGTAATAGCTACTTCTTTTATTGTTTGTTAGTATCTGGAATTCTGATATTTTTGTTTTTGTATTATAGTACACTAATGGAAGTTTTGGACTGTCTGTGCCCATTTTAATTTTACGAGGATCTGTAAGTTGTTGCTATTAGATTTTATTTAGATAACTGTGTGTATAATTTGTGATGTGATTTTAGTATTTTGAATACAATAATTATTAAAATAAAATATTAAATTGAAGCATATTTTGATAAGTATGTGTTTTCTTCATTTGAGGCATAAATCTTACAAGATTTTTATCTGATAAGATTTATGTTTCTTTCTTTCAAACTATTTAATAATTTAATTTTAAGTAACTCAGAATGTCATGATGTGTTTTGAATTGGTTGTATTGCTTGTAGCCAAAGTAAAAATGTTTCATGTTAATAATATTTTGCAGTCAAGTCAACGAATGTCGGAGCGCATGAAAAATTGTCCCCAGTATGGAATGGGCAAGTAAGTAATAATTATTAACATTATAGGAAATATGTCATTGTAAATAATAAAAATTCAGTGCAGGATATTGAAATATATCAGCAGTTTTATTATGATGTGTTATGTGCAAGCTGTGGAGAGGAAACTAATATGATACTTAATGTTTTTAATGCCTGGAAGCAGAGATTTCTATTTTCATTGTGCACAGAAATACAAATTTACCTCCATTTAAAATAAAAAAAGTCTGCTAACTCATGAACCATAATATCTAGTTTCTGCATGCCAGACCTTTTTTAGTATGAACTTGTAACATATAAGTAAATTCTCATTAGTAGGCTTTAGACTTGTGTCTAAAGCAAAGTAATATTGGAGTTTTCTATGCATGGTGTAATATGTTCTGTATTAAAGTCCTGATCATTCAAATGGATTTTAATTTACACATATTCTTAAAATTTTGCATATATTCTGTTAAAATATTTATATCTTGTTTTCATGTATATATTTAACTCTGCATCAGTGCTTAAGTTATCTTGGTAATATTTGGATAGATAGATACAAATGACAACTTAGAATTGTGCTTTGCAGCTTTATTGCTCCAAGGTTTTTTACAATGTTCATGTATACAAGATTAATAGTCTCAAGGTCATTGCAGGGGAATAATTCGTGAATTGATCTATCAGTCATTGCAGGGGAATGGGTGCCTGATTTTTTAATACTTAAATTCTGAATTTATGAGTTTTAAAAAAATGCAGTGTAGTTCAGTACAGCTTGTTGCTGCTAATCAAAATTTTGGATATCTTTTTCCTTATTTAATAGTTTAGAAAAGCAGGGTACTACCAAATCTGGTTCTTGTTCTGATGTGTAAATGGCAAGTGCTATGTGAAAGATTAAGTAATACAATGTTTTAATTATTGTTCAAGGTCATTTAAATTGCATTTATACACACACACATATATATATTGGGTTGGCAACTAAGTAATTGCGGATTTTTTTTAGAAAATCAAAGACAATTTTTTCATGGAACTAAATAACTTTATTCTGTAATGTATTGCCCATTTTGATCAATGACCTTTTGCCATCTTTCAGGCAGCATCATAATCCCACGTTCATAAAACTTCTGGCTTTTATTAGCAAAAAACTAAATCAGGTACGATTTGACATCATCATCATTATTGAAGTTTTTATCATTCAAGGAGTTTTGTAAAGATCGAAACAAAAAGTAATCAGATGGTGCAAGGTCAGGACTATATGTTGGATGTGGCAAAACATCCCAACCAAGCTCCAATAATTTTTGCCGAGTGACCAAAGGTGTGTGTGGCCTTGCATTGTCATGATGGAATACAGCACCTTTTTGGTTTGTCAATTTGGGCCACTTTTTTTCAACTGCATTGTTTAATTTCATTAGTTGTTCAATGTAGACATCAGAATTGATCGTTCGGTTGGGTAGTAAGAGTTCAAAGTAAACAATTCCTTTGTAATCCCACCAAACTGATAACAAAACCTTCTTTTGATGAATATCAGCTTTTGATGTTGTTTGAGTTGGTTCACCTGGCCTGCTCCATGATCTTTTCTGCTTGATATTGTTGTAAACAACGAATTTTTCATCGCCAGTTATCAGTCATTTTAAAAATGGATCATTTTGTTCGTGAGGAACCCATGTATCGAGTTTTTGAACATAGCCAAGTTGTTTTAAGTAATTTTCAATGCATGTATGTGATACATGAAGCTTCTCTGCAATCTCACGTGTTGTACTGTGACGATCCAAATCGATTATTGCTTTGATTAGGTTGTCATCAACTTCAACTGGACGACCAGAGTGTTTTTCATCTTTGAGTGAAAAATCACCAGAACGATATTTGGCAAACCAATTTTGACACTGCCGTTCTTTTAAGGCTTCGTCACCGTAAAACAGCACATAACTTTTTATGAGCTTGCGATGCATTTTTCCCTTTGTGGAAATAAAAAAGCAAAATATGACGAAAATGTTTCTTTTGATTTTCCATTTTTCAACGAACGCCAAACGAAAACTACGCAACCGATCAAAAAACTTTTTTTACTGATTGACAGCTGAATTACCAACTATCAAATAACAAAATGTGTTTTACATTTGTACTACGTCTGCAATGTTAAAAATTAAACTGAAGCCATCTATGAGTGAAATCCGCAATTACTTAGTTGCCAACCCAATATATCAAATGTTGAATGATCTTAAATTCACTTAGTACGAAAACAAGTTTTTCTAATACTTGCGCAATAGCTGCAAAGTAAGATAGTAATAATTTATTTAGTAGAAGTATCAAAAAAGAGGGAACTAACATGTAGGAAGTTTAATTCCGAAAATTGTGTTATAAAGTAACTTGAATGTAAATTATTTAAAATGTTTTACGGGAACTTGAATTTAAATCATGACTAATAAAATTTCAAACTTTGAAAAAGAAATTAAATTAAAAGCAAGTAATTATTACTATTGATCAGAAATTAGTTGACTTTTCAAGGGGAACAAACCAACTCCCGTTTAGTGAACAATAATTAATAAATGCGAAGGTGTTTAGTATATATATGCATAAAGGGTTTGTAATGGATTGAATGCACACAGAACTGATGTTAGCTTGATAAAATTTATCTTACCAAAAGGAACACTTTACATTTCTAGAACTTTCCACAAAGGTACTCATATAGCTTTTCTCAGTATCACAGACCGCAATCAGTAATTACACTTTGAACTACTAACGTTCACAATGCAGTGCAAAGCGCGTTTAAAACGCAAAGCTCATATGGAGTTTTCCTATGACCGCCAAGAAATCTCTAATACGTTCTACTTCTTGAACTCACTGGAAAGCGTATGAGGGCTGGATATGGTTACATTTATATGTAGGGATCAATTAGAGTAGCAATTATGGTACACTGGATCAAAATGTCACCAAGTTTGGCCCCAAACAAGAAGACGATAAAATTCATTCAAAGGAATGAAAAATATTTTCATTTACAATTTTTATTTGTAATGAATTATGTCAATACCAATGACAGTTATACAAGGACTGGACCAAAATGTCTCCAATGACTTTTGGTAACAAAAAGTAGTCACCAATTTAGCAAGATAATCATTTACTTAATGTTAAATAGACTTGTCCAGGGTTCGTACGGTCCTTAAGAGTCTTTAAAGTCCTTAGATTTTTTGGAATCGATTTTTGGCCCTTAAAAGTCCTTAATTTTGGCCAAAATCAACAGAAGGTCCTTAATTTTAATCATCTGAAATTTCTGTCTGTTTTTACGACTGTCATTTTGAGTGTGAATTAGCATTTTGAGGAATATTTTTGGCGATTCACTGCCGTATATATGGTAATCTTTTGAATGGGTTCATGAGTTATAATTTGTTTCTATTTCTAATATAAATGATGGGATACTCGAGTTTCTAAGCAAGAAGTGAAACATAAGCATTTTGAAATTCATTTTTTCTAGTAAAGAGCTCTTAAACAACCTTTTGCTTTTGGGGGTGGGAATTCTTTTATTAAACGGTTCTAAATTTGACGAATTTTCAACATTTTGATGATTTTAAGATCAGTTTCTATAGAAACTTTTTAATTCCAAAATCTGAGAATTTTTCGACGATTTTTTTAAAACATCGTAACATTGATAAATTCTATTGAAATTATGTTTAAAAAATAACATTAAAATAAAACATTTTTATTTTTCGCTGTCGTATTATAAAGTTTCATTTTGGCAACTATATACAATATTTTAAATCTGAAAAATAAACAAGGTATAATGCTATAAAGCACAATTTATGAAACACCTCTTAGCAAAATTAGCTATGTAATTAATTAAAAAGGTCTTGTTTTTAATTTTTTCATAGTAAGAGTTTTTCCCATGTAATTGTCTCAATATTCAAAATTTTCAGAATGTGCATCAGTTTTCTCTATAAAATTAATTTTATACTTTTTCCCTCCTACTTTTTTCTGAAATATTTCTGGCTTTTTTCTGTTACAGAAATGGTAGGGATAATTTTTCTTTATGATTTTAGACATTGCAGTTTGGAAAGTTTAGAAGGATTTGAAGGCAAGATTTATAGACCCACAATTCTAGAAGATTCGAGAAATATGTAACAAAATCAGAAATGTCTCCATGGTATCAAAACGTAGTGGATGTATTTTACAGAAAGTTTATAATGAATTTCTTAATTTTTGAAGAACAATGAAAACATAATATTTGAATGTATTACTTCTGATACTAGAATCTTAACATATTTATCTTCTCTTTATTTTCTCTACTTTTCACTAGACAGAAGCATGGAAAGTATCAAAAATACTTCTGATCTTATCACATGGACAGGCATTATAGAAAGGGATTTTTTTATTAATAAAGAAATTGAAAACTTACAATTTAAAAGATTCATCTAGTATTTCTTAACCCCTTAACTGCCACGGAAAACGTACAAGATTCATTTCCCAGTGCCATGGTTTTTCACACAGGTGCGCATAGTTATGCGATGTATTAGGGGAAAATAAGCTGGCACTAGGCATTTTCCCACCTGATGCAGTCTCTGTGGATCCCAAATTCTGCTGCCTTTCTAAATTCTGCTTCCTTGTTCTTGCTCTAAATTCTAAAAGTTTTGCCATTTCTAGATTATGTTGTTCAGTATGTCACTAAATTCTAGAAATTCTGCCACATCAGCTCTGTAACGTCCTTTACTATATATATTTCATATTGCTTCTGAATGTTCATATTACTAAAGAAATAAAATTAGCCGCTTTTTCTGTACATCCTAAATGCATTTATTGTTTTTTAGAATAACGGAAATCCTTAATTAAATCCAAAAATTCTAAAATGAAAAGGAAACGTGTTGAAAAAAGAAACTGAGTACTTATAAAGGAAATTACTCATCAAAGATATGTGCAACTATTATTATGTAAATTACCCAATTGTTTATGATTTCAACCTTTACTATAATTTCCCATTTCTATTTCCTCATATGATAGAGTTATTGAGCCAGATTAAATTACAATTAAATTGTATAATCTTTGATCACTAGTCTACATTATTAGTTTGAATTTGACTGTTCTTGTTTAATTACGTCATCGTGAGCTGTAGTTGATTTTGTTAGCATCAGAACATGCCTTTATGTTCTAAGTTCTTTTTAAATAAGAGGCTTATTTAAACCTTTGTCTTATATTGTAGTTCATTTCAGACATAGCGATAATATGCTTCATGTCTGTCGGGGGATTTTGGACTATTTAACTTTTACCAGATCAATTAAAGCCTCATAGGTACATTGTGGAGAGGTTGACAAGTTAGGAGATGATGCACGCAGAAACTAGTGAGAGCATTGGTTTGCATATTGAGACAAATCTCTAATTGTTAGAAAAGATGCTTAAAAGAGAAGGAAATCGATATAAACTTTCAAATATGACCAACTATCATAAGTGTAAAATATTTAATGCTACTTGATAAATTGCATAGTTTATTTTATTCTCAAACTTATTAATTCATGTTTAGTAATAATGCATACTACTTAGGGATCTATTTTATTTTTAGGATGGTATTACAAAAGTGAAATTCAGGCATAGATAATATCTTTAGTTGAATTTATTCAGTTACCGTTTGCTCATAGGTCCTTAATTTTTTTCATTAATGGTCCTTAAAAGTACTTAATTTCCGTGTGCAGAAATGTGTACGAACCCTGTTGTCCTGTAATCTCATTTTTTGCCAGAGCTTCATATCTCCCAAACATTATACAAAATGTATTACAATTTCTCATATAATTTCAGTAAAACATTTTACATATATACAAAATTCGTAACAACGTATGTGAATGTGCTGAAAAATTTCTATTTTATGATGAAAGTTAAGTTTTGAAAGCTATGAAGGAGAATTGAATGTTTTGTTCGTAAGAGATAAAATCATATTCTATATTTAAGTGATTAATGTGAAAGTGTTTTCTTTCTTTTGCGTGATATAATTTATATATTTGTCTGTAATGTCTTCTTTTTACGAGGGCTATCCAGAAAGTAGATTACGTTTTGGAATAAAAAAATAAACAAAGTATAGGAAACAAATTTTATTATATACAGATGAAAGCCACACTCAAATACTACTTTTCTACATAGTCACCATACAAATTAAGGCATTTATCGTAGCGATGTACGAGCTTGGAAATTCCTTCGTCGAAAAATTCGGCCGCCTGCGCCTTCAACCACTTCGTTACCTCTTCTTGCAGCTGTGCGTCGTCATCAAAACGCTGCATAGCCAGCCACTTCTTCATTGCTGGGAATAGGTGGAAGTCGCTCGGTGCCAGGTCGGGACTGTACGGCGGATGAGGAAACAACTCCCACTTAAAAGATTCAAGAACTTTACGAGTGACATTTGCCGTGTGGGGCCGGGCGTTGTCGTGAATCAACAAGATCTTAGAGCTCAACATTCCTCTGCGCTTGTTTTGAATTGCTCTTCTGAGTTTTTGGAGAGTTTGGCAATACCTTTGAGAGTTTATTGTAGTGCCTCTTTCCAGGAAGTCCACCAAAATTACACCTTTTCTGTCCCAAAAAACAGTCGCCATCATCTTCCTTGCCGACATTGTTTGCATGCATTTCTTGGGTTTTTGGGGAGAACTTGTGTGCCCCCACTGCATTGATTGCAATTTCGTTTCACAGTTCACATGTTTCACCCATGTTTCGTCACCAGTAACGATGCGATCGAGTAAAGAGTCACCATCCTTATGGTAAGCGTCCCCAAAAGTTCAACGCTGCAGCCATTCGCTGATTTTTGTGGTCCTCTGTCAAGATTTTTGGAATCCATCTTGCACAAAACTTGTGGTAACCAAGCTTTTCGCTGATGATTTCGTGCAACAAACTTCGCGAAATTTGTGGAAAACTCAAAGAAAGTTCCTATTATTGTGAAATTTCGATTTTCACGGACTTTAGCATCGACTTTTTCGAGAAGTTCGGCGGTCACTATGCTGGGTCTCCCACTTCGATCTTCGTCGTGAACATTGGTTCGGCCATTTTGAAATCTTATGACCCACTGACGCACTCCACCTTCAGTGATAATGTTGTCCCCATACACTTCACGAAGCTGCCGATAGATTTCTATCGGTTTACAGTTTTTTGCAGTCAGAAACCTTATTACTGAGCGCACCTCGCGGGATTTTCAATTAACGCAGACATTTCAAACCGTCACAGTATCTGAACGGAGCACAGCACGAACCTCTCACTAGCACGGCTAGATGCAGACTGAGCTGCGCAACGCTCTGACCCCAAGATGGCCGCGCTAGCCCCGCCCCTAGCGGACACAGACGAAAACGTAATCTACTTCCTGGATGGCCCTCGTATATAAAAAGATAAATACCTCCCACACTGTTTTTACTTAACTTTTCCCTTTTTAAACCAAAAATGGTAATTCTTTTTCCTGAACCTGAGCAATGAGTCTGAGAAAATCATGTCATTAATAGAAGAAGAAGAAAAAAAAAAGTACTTTTGATCATCATTAATGCTCTTCTGTTGATTCAAGATCATCATTAATGCTTTTTGAAAATGCAGTAACTAAATCTGCTACTAACAGTTTCCTTTTTTGAATGCATTTTTTCAATAAGAGTAATGAAAAATATGCATTATTTCTAGCTTTTTATTTATTTGTTTAATTTACTAGCAATAAAATATTAGTTTTTCAGTCTATAGTTTTCTGATGTTAATTTAAAATTTTCTATCTTTGATATATATATTTTTTAAGTTTGTATATAATGGTAATAGTTACACACCACTTCTGTTTGAGAGATAAATGAGTTTAAAAAGAAAATCCATAGAAGTTATGTCCCTTTGCAAGCAATTCATAATTTCCAACTTTTTAAATTATTACCATCTGTATGCAATAATAATTTATATGTTTATAAAATACTTGTATTGAATTTATATTTGTATTTAATGAATATTAAATATACATTATGCAAAATAATTAAAGAGTTAAGTATTTTATATTCTATGAGATATTTTTGATAGTCAGTTCTTTTAACTGCTTTAAACAATTTTAAGAACTTACTGCTGCTCTTCAGCCAGATTATAATGCGTGCTTATAAAAGAAAACTATTTTCATTTACAACAAAATTCAATACAGTGCATAAAAATATAAAATCTGAAGGCTTTCGGTTTTTGTATTATGCTCAATGGGGCATTTTTTTAACTCGCACATGCAAAGAAGTTTTGAGAGCATCCGAGCTAATGTCCCTTGGACTAAAAATATTTAAAAACAGCGTATCTTTAGAATTTCTGATAGACCTTCTTGTGCGCTGGAGATAAAAATGTTGTTTTCCATAGAGTGTTGTCATTGTTCACTTAAAAATTGTTGAGTTTGTTAATCAAAAATTTATTTAAAGTTTTATAAAATATGAAATAATCAGTAAAACAAATTGCAAATTCGGGCTTCCTAGTGTTCATATTTGGGTGGCGGACTACATATTCAAAATCTTATAGTTCTAGGTACCGTTGTTTATTCACAATGCAAGGAACATACATACATTCATTCAGATTCTTCATTATTTAATTTCTTTAAATATAATACATGGTGATAATATTTGGTGGCAATAATTTGAAAAGTGATGCAACGCTTTTAGTGATTCAACACAAAAATTTCTTTCAAGACCAATAGCCCTTCTGAGCTAACACCCCTGTGGGCTAATAAATATTTATTGACATAAATTATATTTTCCACGTGATTTCAGTTCACTAGATAGTAAATAAATCATTTGAGCATTAAATACAGGTTATAATTATATAGTAGTAAAATAAAATAACTATCTTTATTAAATTTTGAAATTTTGCAGTGGTTATTTGTTATGGTTAACATTTCAGTACTATTAAAAATTTTTTGGATGATTTGAAGATTTGAAGTGTATTTAAGGGAAAAAAAATTTCTGAAATTGTTATTAATGTTTAAAGAAAACTAGTTTTTTTCTTTGCATAACTTATTAAAATTTATTGCATGATGGTTTATTTTCTTCTTCTTTTTTTTTTTTTTTTTTTTTTTCAGGCATAAATCCGATAACTGGTGGAAAGCTTTTGGTAAGTTTATATTCTTCTTTCATTGTTTGATTTATATGAGCTCTGAATCAGATAATGGTTTTGATGAATTCATAATAAGAGTAGTCCTATTGCTATCATGAATTAATAGCAATAAGTTCAGTTGAGCAAATTCGTGCAAGCAAATTTTTATTACCCTTGAAAATAATTATTCAAGTCTTTCAAAATAAATATTGTGTTAGGGATATAGTTATCTGCATATCCCTTCCCCTTTATATATATAAAATAAATAAATAAATAAATAAATAAATAAATAAATAATCATATTCTGTTAAAATGTTTCCAATCTAAAATTCTAACATTTGTGGCCAAAAAATGATTTAAGACAGTCTGGTAACCATGAATTTTTTAAATAAGTTGCTCCTTTTCTATCAGCAAAAGTTGTACCGAGTTCTGCACCATTTCGTGAATGCATGTATTTTTATGTATCTAACCATATATAAAAAATTAAGTAAATGCAAACGTTAATTAATATATAAATTTAAGGATAATTTTGTAGAGAATTCATTAGATTTTTAAGATTTAAAATAGCAGTATTATTGTAAATATTCCAAATTTTCATATTGGAAAACTTCTCATGAACTTCTGCCACCAATGTAAATAACCTGTGCAGCTGTTGCAATTATTTTCCTAGCTTCTTCTTAATTTACCATTCTCATATCTGTGTTTTCTGTGACTGGTAACTTGTGCAGCAAGTTTCTGTTAATTATGCATAATTGCATAGAAATTTGAAAGTTTATGATTGTTTAGCTGTATCCCTTAAAAGTAGAAGTGCTTCTTTTTCATTACTTTGTGAATCCCAATGATGTAATTAAGAAATTGAAAGAAAGTGTTCTGAAAAATCAAGTCCTTAAAAATAACAGGTGCAAAACTCATTGAAGCAAACAAAATAAAGTCGATTATATTATCAACTGAAGATCATTACTGTTATGCGTGTTTGTTACTATAAGGCAGACATTTATTGACTAATTATCAGTGACAGAAATCACTTGTATCAAATACTAATATGTGCATACCGTAGTAGCTTACTAAATTTGACCTGCCTTAAATAAAAGAACGAGGAAGCTTGAGTTTATAAAGTACAGATAAGTGGAGTTATCAACTGCCTAAGGTTGGTTGGCTTATTTGATTATGGGAAAACATTTTTTCCTTGATCATACCACTTTTTTGTTGTTTTTAGTATTAAAAAATAACTATTATAATACATAAATATAAAATTTATGAGGAATAAAGTTCCATAAAAGAATTTTATTAGAACATTAACAAAAGTTGAAGAAACAATAATAATAATATTTAAATGATATTTGTAAGAATAATTATATTCATTTCTCTTTTGTCATAATTTGTATTAAAATCCATCATTATATACAGTCCCTTAATTTTTATGACCAAGAATATTATAATATTTTTTTAAAAAATGACAGTTGAATGCATTTATCTAAAACAATTTAAATTAAAAAAATTTTATATACATATTATGTTACCTTTTTTTGGATTAATAATTTTCGCTGGTACTTCTGGAAACTTTTCTGTCAATTTATAATTGAGCTGAAAATTTTTCTTTTTTCTTTCATCTTCGAATGAAGAACAGGTTTCTTGTTGACGATGAAATAAAATGGACATCTGTTGAAACTTAGATAATTTTGCTTCTAACACTTATTAAATTATTTTGTTTTGTGAGAATCTGAAGTAATATATTTTTATAATCTTCCTGTATTTGTTCAAAGACTGAGCATTGTGATATTTTATGTTGATGTTTTGTAAAATATTTTATTATAAATATTTATGTATTGGAATGGCTTAGATGAATTAATTTATGTACCCTTGATTCCATTTTATTTCAAACGTGTAGTTCAAGTGTTGTGATAGTCCATTTTTTCTCCATCCATCTGCTGAGAGGACTTCTTGGGAAGACATATTTTAAATGCTTCCATGATGCAAAGCCTCTACAATCACAAATATCCATCTTACCCAGGATTCAAACCTGAACCCAATAGCATGAAAATCTATGAATGCTTAATACCAAGATCTGGGCAGAATAAATATATAGTTTACATTAAGCTGCTTGCTTTTTCTTAAGCTGCAAAATTGTATGCATTGTCAGCTGTAATTGTTATAGCTGCATAAGTCATCTGTTAAGTATATTTATTTTTTAATTTTTTTCATTTGCTCCTTTTTTTTTTTTTTTTTTTTTTTTTTTTTATCTCTCTGCAGGTCGGCTTTTAATGTGCGAAAAATATTTAGTGGAGAAAAAAACTGGATCTGGTAATTTTTTTTCTGTAGTTGATATGAGTGATAAAAGCAAAAGATGGTTTGCAGAAACAAAGCAGATTCCAAGCAAAGCTAAACCATTAATTTTGGAAATGAATGCAGAGTTACTAGCTTTAGAAGAAACCAAAGCACCTGCTATACTGAAGCAGTCTACTTCTCCACCTGTTAGAAAGTAAGTGAAAATAAAAATTGCATAAAAGTTGTAGGTAGAAAAAAAAAACCTTGTTTAGTAGAACTTGAAACTATGTACACTAAATGGGAAAACAGCATTTTCATGTATTGTATAAATATGAATGCAGTCAAACTTCTGTTAATTGGGCACTCTCCATTAACCAATTAACTGCCAAAACTACATGGAATGATTCTTTTCTCAGAAAATAATAACAGATATTAAATTAAGCATTTATAACATAAATTTACATTGAAAATTTAAAAAAAAAAAAAAAAATGCTCTTACCTGTGGAAAAAGCGAGTGTTGCGTTCGTGCAACATCAGAGAAATAAGACTACGGATGTTAATGAGTAGGCTTGTACTCATGCGATCTTTCCTTTGAGTGGAGCACTGGATTACTTTTTAACTGTATAACGTTTTATAAATCTACAAATCACTTTACTTGTAATTAATTTAATATTAAAATATACAGTATTATTTCTTTTACAAATACAGATTATTTCAATTGAAAGATTCAAGCATGAAAAGCTTTACTACAATCACGATGTAAAGCTATATTACATACTTTGCATCTATAAACAGTCTGGCTATGGCACTCTTTACAACAAAGTCTTTTGTTATTATCGGACTTTACGAAAAAATGTCTACCATCTCCATGCAATTATTTTTGAATGCTGAATTGACTAGGTCTTCCTGTTGCTGATCTATTTCTGGCTAAATTTACACTCTCAATAGGAATTTGCAAAAGGAATAATGCAATCTCGCGTCTAAAATCTAAAAGAGACGTTTTATTTCCAGTAGTAGAAAGTTGTGATATTTTCCATGCATTTATCAAGGCGACATCAATGTAATTAGTAAATATTGGCCACAAACTCTTATTCTGTAATTGGCTACTAAATTGTCACATAAACCAACTCCGCTCATTTTGGCATTGTATTGTTCAATAAGATGAGGCTGAGATATAAAGACCTTTTTCCTTTGTGTTTTTGAATAGTGGGAAAATTTTTTTATGGGCTGATTATTTCCAAATGTTGAACCAACAGTTACAACCGAATTGTCGTTCCATCGTACAAAAAATATTTTGTTTTTCTCTTCATACTGGAAATCATAATAATCCCTATCTTTCTTACGGACACATTTCACAGTTTCTAGTGGGCACGTTTGTATGCGGTTTTCCTGAATTGTTCCTCGCATCTAGCACTGAAACTTTTATTTTTTAGATGACAGAGAAGCTGAAATGATGTAAAAAAGTTATCAAAATAAATAGCATGATTGGAGGGTCTTTCAACAACACTGAGCAAATTTATCGCCACGCTTCCTCCAAGCCCAAATTCTTCATATTCTGGTAATTTTGGAGCTGTCGACTTACTTGAATAAATATCGAAATGAAACACATATCCATCAGATGATGCCAGAGTCCATACTTTGTATCCAAATCTTATAAGTTTCCCTTTTAAAAACATCTTTACTGAATGTTTGCCTCGATAAGGAATCATTTGCTCATCAATACTCAGATCGTAGGAAAATATACCAAATTGTTGGAATTTCTTATTAAGTTTAGGTACGGTCTCACCTTATATAATTTATCAGTATTGTCAATTCGACTATTGTCAGCTAAATGCAAATTCTGCTTCATATTCCTGTACTGCAAACGTGACATTGATTCTCGTACAACAGGAACAGAAATGTCCTTATCAAAAGACCAATACATTTCTTCTTGAGGTAAAGAATGATATCCTGTAAGCAATAATATTCCAATAAATCTTCTCATATAGGCTTCAGATGCAATAAATTCTGGGCGATTTTTTTGCTGAGCATGTATATATTTGTCTCTTCAGTGAGAAGAGAGTAAATGTCTGAACTAAAAAGAAAATCGAAAATCTCTCCAGTAGTTTTACCTTGTATTTTGTCTTTTATAGTTTCTCTTCTATCTCTTTCTTCATTTTCTTCTTGAGACATAACTAATGGTTCCTTTTTTGTCCAATTCAAGTTTTCAGTTTTCTACTTTTTAAACTTTTTTGTATGACTACCACTGCTTTAAGAAGGCTGAAACTTACGTGAATTTACACTTCCCCATTTATTTAAAACATTGCCATCCCGTTCTTCTTCATCACTAGCTTCTGCAATTTCTGATGGAACAACAATATCAGTTTCATTCTTGTCATTATTATCATCCGTTTCTTCATCAAAAAGTCTTTGAAGGGCTTCTTCTAGTGTAAGATATCTTTTTCTAGCCATTTTTTAAAGCAGCCAGAACATGAACCAGAACATTGGAAGGAATGAGTAAAACAGATTACCGTTTCCTGCTGACATTGCATCAGCACAACATCTGTTTTCTTTTTCTTCCTGACACAAATATAAACATCTGATTGATGTACTGTTCTGATAAACAGTAACCTTGACTAAAAATAGATCACTCGTAAAGACTGCGATTGTTTCGTGAAATATTTTCAGCAAAAATATCCGGTCGAAAATTTTGCTTAAAGTATGAGATTAATTATTATAAACACAAAATGATTGTTGAAGGCAAATATTTTTTACAGAAATAATCTTCATAATATTCCCTACACAAAATCATCTGCTGGTATAAAATATCTTGGATAGTTATATTTATATATGTTTCTATTTTGACCGTTGCGTCAACGCAACACCAGCAGCTAATGGGTTAACAGTTAGTTCCTGAATCTTTGGACCGTCAAAATAGGAGATTGTTGGTTTCCCATTTAGCAGAACGTTGTCTGATAATAAACAAAAGCATTGGAGCTAATTAAGTTGCTCTTTTTCTATCAGCCAAAGTTATACCGAGTTCTGCACCACTTCATGCATACATGTATTTTTGTGTATCTAACCATATGTAAAAAATTAAGTAGATGCAAATGTTAATTAATACAAAAATTTTAAGATAATTTTGTAGAGAATTCATCTGATTTTTAAAATTTAAAATAGCAGTATTATTTTAAATATTAATCATTAGAAAACTTCTCATGAACTTCTGCCACCAATATAAATAACTAGTGTCCACTGGTGGCTGTTTGAAATAATGGCTTGAAATATAGACTTCTAAAATAAAAAACGGCTTTTGTCTTAAATTCTTTCATTATTATTTATTACTAAACTATACTTTCTGATATGTGCATGTTTTTTCCACCCTCCCTTTTTTATTATTATTATTTATTTTGTATGAAATTCATTGAAATGCGATGAAAGACACACCGTTCCATCATTTCTCAATCTTTTTGCCCTTGCAATGCAATATAACCTTATAAACCCAAGCATAAACATTTTACATGAATAGCCATTCATTTACACATAATTAACCTACACATCATAATTTCTTGTGATGTGTAGGTTAATTATGTGCAAATGAATTCACTGAATTCCAGTCTAAAAATACTGAAATTCCAGAAAACCCTGGTTGAGAAACATTCTTCAAATATTAAATTTATGAAAGTTATTTCATATATGTAAGTTTAAGTCTAGGGCTTTGAGTTTCTATTATGCCCAAGTTCTTATTTACCAGAGGCAGCATCATTTCATATATGTAATTAGACACTTCTCTGAAAAATATAAAATGAGCATAGTAAAAGCTTATTAAATAAAACTAAAATCCTGTTAAATATATCATGTATAAAATTTGTTTGCAGGGTCCTATCAGCAGCTTTTAAAGATGCAAAGGGAGAATTGTCTGAGGGTAGCGTAGAAAAATTAGATGAAGAAACTTCTTCGTCTGATGATAAAGTAGCTGATCCACAGGAAGAGATGTTGAAGGTATATTATTTTTCTGTATTCAAATAAAAGTTTATGTTGGCATAATCATTGAATATTTTAAAGAGTAATATTGACAGTATCAAGAACAATGTTGTTGATGTAAAGTTTATTTGTCTTATATGCATGTATTTCTGTTAAATATAAAATGGTTGTGATTTTTCAAAACACAGGTGAGAATTTTACTTTATAAATATTAAATCTGTCTAAAAAGTTCGAAAATAAGAAAAAATTGCTTTGAGTTGATTTTGAGAACCTCTATAACTAAAGGAAAATATGTGAAAGAGTGTATTTAAATGGAAACAGCTTTTTGTAAGAATATTTTTAAGCTATAGATCATATTAAACTGTTTCAGAAATTATACCCATTTTCTTTCAATATTTTTAAGAAAAAAGAATGCTCTTAAAATGCATATTAAACTTAGAATTAGTTGCTTGACTGTAAACATGGGCTGTCTTATAGCTGTAGTTTAAGTCAAGATAGTTGTTTTAGTTACATTTATAATTATTTAAGCATTTACGATAACTTTTATAAGAGCTAGAAATCATTTATTTTAATTATAAAATATGTGCATTAAGTAATGTTAGTATTTATAAAAGAAAAGAAAAATACTTTAGTTTTGTGTCTTTTGAACAAATACCTCATATTTTGCTTTCTTTGTTTTATCTTTTGTTTATATTTTTAAATTATATATTAATTTTGTTTTTGAATTTATTATTTCCCTACTGATTTTTTTACATAATAATATAAAGGTATGCTCTGCCGCTTTTCAAATAGCTAAGACCACTGAATATGGATAGTGTAACCTGGGTTTGAACTCCAGTGAATATTTTCATGATTTTTTCCATGTGTAATTTGAATACGAACCAGTTCTTTTAAAACATTCTTTGTAAAAGTTTCTCTTGTATACTATGCATCAATAGTTGTAATAAAATAAATTAACTTTGGGGTATAACATAAAGATATACATTTGCCTGTATGCTTTGAGGTGATTCATGCTTTCAGGCTTTTTGATTAAAAAAAATCATAAATGCAATAATTTTCATTATTGTTTTCAATAATTTTCATTATTCTTGAAAATTTCAATAAATTAAGTAACTGCCTTCTTTGTTGACTGATTTCTTGTTTGTATTTCTTAAAGTGAATGTACTGGATTTAAATCAGATATATTAAAATTTAATCTTGCATGTTTTTCTAAGGGTGAATTATATAAAAGATTAATGGCTTTGAGAAATAAGATGGCGGATCAAGATGGATTAGCTCCGTACATGGTCTTCAGCAACAAAAACCTTCTGGACATGGCTGTATATCGTCCATCTTCATTGAAGTCCTTGTCTCGGATAGAAGGTATCACTGCTGCACGTATATCTAAATTTGGCCAAGCCATGATAGATGTTATAATTTCTTTCTGCAAAGAAAATGCCTTGAAAGAAGATGTTTTCCCACCTAAAGAGGAAAGTCGTAAGGTAAGTCATTTTGTAACATTTCTGATTTAAAGACTTCTGTAACTAATATTCTATTAAGTATATGAAATAACTTGACAATTTAATGCTTTAGCTAAGAGGGTTGTTTCCTAAATTATCAAAATTGTACTTCTTTAATATAGTCTTAAGGATGTAACTTTTTCAAATTTTTTAAACTTCATAAATGTGTTGCCGTTTAAAAATTAAATTACAGTCTGTTTCTCCAAACTAATTACAATTTGCTAAGTTGCCATATAAAAAAATTAATACAAAAAAGCACATATACAAGAAATACCAATATGTAAATGTAAATTATAATTTAAATTAACAATAGCCCCTTGTTCATTAACCGATCGCCGATTTACCATATATGTTAATGGGATTCCGATTAATTCGTTCTGGAGATCCTTAAAATTGAATTTTAAAAAAATGTCGTGTACAAGTATTACTTCTTAAGTTTATTTATTACAAATATAATGCATACATATAGTCTTATTTACTAATCAGTCCTTTTTCTTTCTTTGGGCAATAAAGAACATGTCCAATGTCGATTGTTTTTCTCTCTCCTTCAGGACTTTCAAGAAATGATTGATAGTAACCCTACTGACATCAGCTTGGTTTGGGTGCCATTTTAAGACTGTTGCTCTGACATCCTCCCACTTCTTCAAAAGATCTTTAATTGCAGATGTCGGCATTGCTCCTCTTTCATCTTCCTCTTTTTCAGAAGGAAACACATTTCGCTCAGTTTCTTGGTGTTCTTCATTCAAGATTTCTTGGAGTTCTTCTGCCGTCAAGTCACCTTCATGTTCCATTATGAGCTCTTCAATGTCATCCTCATTCACCTCCAATTCCAGATCTCTCGCAGTTGTTATAATTTCATCCATAATTTCAGGGGTGTCACCCTGATCACATCCGTCTCCTTGAATTAGGGATGGACAGAAAACCTTTTGCCAGGCAGAAACCAACTGTCGTTGAGTGATTTCTGACCATGCCTTTACATTAAGACGAATAGCTTCGAGAATGTCGAATTTTTCTATCCAAAACGTTTTTAAAGTCATTTTTTAGGAGAGTTGGCATGCTTCAAAATATCGCCAAAACAGCATACGAATGTACAATTTCTTGAAACCTGCAATAACCTCTTGATCCATTGGCTGAATCAGTGAACTCGTATTCGGAGGTAAAAACTGCACTGTCAGCCAGGAAAAGTCTATCAGCAAATTATCTTCAAGTTCCTTTGGGTGCCCTGGTGCATTGTCCAATACCAACAATGCTTTCAATTTCAAGTCATTGGTATCAGGGCAGTCCTTGATGCTCGAGGCACAAACTTCAAATAGCCTTTCTTTGAAAAGAACCTGCATTACCCATGCCTTCTGATTCGATCTCCACATCACTGGCAGTGTTCTCTTGATCATGTAATTTTTTTTTTTTTTTTTTTTTTTTAATGCTCTAGGATTCTCAGAGTAATAAGCGAGAAGTGGTTTAAGCTTCATTTCACCACTAGCGTTAGCTCCCAAAAGTAACGCCTATTGGTCTTTCATGGGTTTATGCCCAGGAACACTTTTCTCATCTTCGTGATGTAGGTACGGTTCGGCATGCACTTCCAAAACAAACTAGTTCATCACAATTAAATATTTGTTGTGGACAATACCCTTCTTTTTCAATGAATTATTGAAATTTGAGACGGAACCTCTCAGCTTCTTCTTTATCTGCACTAGCAGACTCACCATGCATGACCACGTGTTTAATGCCAGATCTCCTTTTAAACTTTGCAAACCAGCCAGTGGTAGCTTTGAATTCTAGATTTTCGGATGACGAACCTGGAGTTTGTTCTTTCAATTTCTCAATTTTCTCTGCTCTTCTCTTGAATGATGGCCATACTAGTTGCATCTTTTTTCATCTCCCATTCTCCCATACTAAAAGCAAACTCTCCATTTTTTCATGGATGGCACTTCTTTGCTTCTCAGATGTGATTTTCTTTACTCCTTTAGCGGCTTGAGTCTTGATGATATCTTTCTTAGCTAGGATTGTGCCTACTGTAGACCTGTTCAAGTCGTACTGCCTACCAACATCAGTCATTTTTTGTCCATTCTCTACTTTAGTTATAATCTTTTGCTTGGTTTTTATGGTGAGCACAGTTTTTCAGTTTTTGACACTCCACCCTTTTTAGGTCCCATAATATTGTCATATTTTTCAGGTTTTTTATATAAGGTGTTTAGAGAAGCACCTACCAAAATCACAAGGACAAAAACCAACTATGGTACACAATTGATAAAGTGTCGTCGCACACTACCGTACAGGTCGTACGGTGCTGCCTCACTGCTACATAGTATGGATGATGATGTGTCAGCGCACACGCACATCCATTTTCAGCACGAATTGAGAACTGGTGTCGGGTGTTCCAAGAGCCGAAAGGTTTTCGTTAGAATTAGTTTTTGCTCGTTATCCGAATATTGTTCGTTGTCCGATATGTTCACTGTCCGAAGTGTTCGTTAACTGATCACCCACTGTATTAACTTTAATATATATAAAAGCTAAAATGGTACCAAAAATAATGATGCTAGAATTTAAACTCCCCCTTTCTAAAGTTAGGCTTACTGCTTTCGACTCCCTTCCCTCTCATGAGAACCTTCTGAAACAAAGGTGTGCCATCGCAAAAATTGGTAACGAAGCCTGGCAGCAAATGACTTACTTACAGGGCCACGAATTCAATTTGGAAAAAAAATTATAACCAGACTTAAAGGCCTAGATTTTGAGAGAGGATTCTTTTTGTTGTGTATGTTATTGTGTTTCTAGGCAAAATCATGATCTTTGGCAGCGAAGACATGGAGGAATTATTAAGGGACCTTAAACATGAATTCAGCAAAAAAGAAATGAAACATCTTCAGAAACAAAATTAAAACACAGCTGTGTTTGAAGAAGAGGAATAGGATAAAATGAACCTAATTCTTTGGTCCATGAAATTCATGCAAAACGAGGTAGGATGCAAAGTTTCATAATAATTATGATATCATGATAAGACTACAAGAAGTTAATGCAAAGTATTTTCAGTTTTAATGCCTTGTCTCACTCTAGAAACATTTAAAAGCTTAGACAAAAATCACATTGGATAAATTTTGAATTAAGCGAAAGCCCAGTGAGTCTCATGTGGAGTCGAGTGATGTTAAGAGACAAAGATGCCCCAGAAAGACAGATACTTTATATTTTTATGAAAGGTGTCTTCTCAACTGTATAATAACATATTTTTCTTGTGACTTTCATTTAATCTATTTAGTATTGTATTTAATCTCTTCCTTCTCTCTCACTCCCCCCCCTAGATTTAATAATTTACATTAATTTTGTGTTACTAACTTTTGTGCAAAGTACTTCTGTAAATTTTAAATAAGCCATCTGTGATCTTGGAACGGATTAATCTATTTTACATTAATCCTTATGGGGGAAATAGTTTCTGTTTATGAACACTTCAGATGATGAAAGGCCTTCAAGGATGAATTAAATTCATGAACCAAGCTCATACTGTGTATGTATAGGTTATGCAGTGGAATTGTATGCCAGTTTACAGTTTTATAGTAGTATGCTGTAATACGTTTCACTTTTAATTTAAAGATTAAAAAAAAAAAAATACTTTTTGTATATCTCTGTTAACTAATGAAGAATCTATGTATATGTGTATGTTCTTCTCATTTTGTAAAAACAGCAGCACCTAGATTTTACACACATAGTCCTCCGTCCATATTTTTATTTCAAAAATTTTTTTTATTTATTTTATATTTTGTGCAAACTTAATAAAGTTAAATTAAAAAATATATTGATATTCAGCAACTTTACCACTCGATGAGACATAAAATATTTGTTTTTCAAATTTAATCAGCATCCAGAACAGTTCAAAAGGAATGTGTTGCCATTGCTGAAAATAAAATATTTTTGTTTTCTACCTAAGCGTATGCTGTCATTTGGTGAAATGCAATTAATTTTTCTTTCAAATTTAATATACCTGTTATGAATTAATAGACTAAATAATAAATGCAGCTTTTTATTTTTATTATTATTAATAACTAACTGGATTCATAAAATTATGATTGCTGTACTCATTAAAAATCATTACATAGCTTTCTTTTTTTATAAGTATTTTAGACAGGTAGCTGTGCAAGTGGCTAGTGTTTATATGTACATGTAATGTAAAATTAGAATCCAATTGCCTTTTATGCTGCTTTGTGCTTTTTTTATGAGTGCAAAAAGCATGAAGAGCACAGCTGGGAAACATAACTATTTTTATTTTTCTACTATTTTCTTTCTATAACATAACTACATTTCTTACAGGTTTATACACACATTGTTTAGTAAAGCAGAGACTATACTAGGGAATATTTTTACATGGATTATAGCATGTTTGCTTAATTTTGAAGTCTGGTAAGGGAAGATTTCTTATGAATTCTCACTCATTTTCGATCTAGTTAAAATGCTGTTTCATTTATTTAAAAAAATAATAATAAGCAATTTCTGAAAGCATAATATATGAAGAAGTATAATACAGTTAATTCAGTAAAGCTGAGAAATGGCTCATTTTGAAAATGAAAATATAAAATATTTTAGAAGTTTTTCAAAAATAAATAAATAAATAAATAAATAAAAATTTGTTTCATAAATGAGAAACATTTATTTAAATAGCACTGGTGTAGATTTCTAATCAACTCAAATCAAAGTTAATCCAAGAGAAAAAGTTAAAATTATTTTGATAACTAAGAAATATTTTTAGCCCGAAGATATCTATTGTAAATGGTAGGGTTTTTTCGGGGGGGGGGAGGTTTTGTGTGTGTGTTCTATTTAGTAGTACATTATGCTAATAAGTTACATTAATCATTACATTGGTCAATGGACAGACGTGAATGCTTCTTTATTAATCTATGTTAATTTGGAGTGTATGTCTGATGTATTTTATAGCTAAGTCCCACCGCAGAGGCTGGCTTAAGAACGCTGACTCCAACTGTCCAAGAAACATATAGATTATATGCAATAGAGAAAAAAAGTCTTCCAGCTGCAGCCAAAATAAGGGGAATGACCGAGGAGACTTTGATTACCCATTTAGCACAAGCTATTAAAGTTGGTCTGCCTGTCGACTTGGATGGCTTAGCAATAACCCAAGATATAATTGATGTTATTACTAAAGTTATTCTTTCACCTCCTATCAATTCAGGTGAGTAGCTACATAATTTTACTTATGCTAAAAGATTCTTTATCCTGAAGCTTAATCATTTACACTTAAAGCTTTCGTCTATGGATGCCATTTTTGGTGGCGTGTGTTGTTGCTGTAGGTATAACGATGGTAGCTTAGCTTGATGATTTTTAACATTTTTATTTAACACTAAAAGGAGGTATATATTTTAACACACGTTCATTGATACACAATCACATTGATTACAGTTTGTACGATGAGCATTTTTATAGTTAACAAGTCCACGTAGGTGAAAAAATCATGAAAGTAAAGCAGAAGAAAGGTGAGCGCGTGCTTCACCGATGGCAGCCAGGAACAGAGTAAAGAGTCCGAAGTTTCCCCTAGTGGAGAAGAGGGAGCTGGTAGCGCCCTCTCTTGGGCCAGTGGACAAATAATAATAATAATGAGTTCTCCACACACTTAAGAAGATATCTCAATCATCACTTGAGTTTCTGAAGAATCTTGAATAGTGAAGGTGCGCACTGCCTTGAACTGCTCAGAGCACCGCTTTGACTCGGGCTTCTGTGGTGGAAAGTTATATGGGCATGTTGTGTTGGCAATTACATTAACTTGCCTACTGTTTGGTCAAATTCCAAAGGAGACATGATGAATCTGTTCATGTGCTCTGCTTTGTTCTACACTGGAGAGGTGTATCCATTTCCTCTCATGTCCTGGCTTTTGCGAAAAGCATTTAGCCTGCACTTCCTTCACAACATTATGTCTGTGGGCAGGGATGTTCCAGACCACTGGTTGAGATATGGCTACTGCTACGGGCTAGGATACGTTCTTAACTGGTTTCACTGTTACCTGCACTCCATCCCAAAATCTCCATGTTTACAAAACATACCTGTTGAATCAAATTGTCACTAATTTTAATATTACAGTTGCACAATTCATAGCAAAAATGTTTCATCTGTCAACACCTGTCAGGTGACAGTGTTCTTGTAGAGATTATTATTATTTTGAATAGAAATGCAAAAATCAGCTATGCCTTTCCGGACTCAAACTATGATATTCCACTTGCTTAAGTGGACATGGTACCAGTTGCATCTGTGGTGTCAAATTGGTGGACTCCAAAGCAATTTTATGTGGCAATACATTTCCCCTAAATTAATTAACATTATTATAACATTATTAATTATGGCAAGAATTTGAAGAAAAGTTTAAGATTTTAATGATTTTGAATCCAATTTTACATTATTTTCATTACATTAAAGTTAACATGAGTACCCTCCCAGAAAATTTTCAAATGGAGCTAGTTAATTTACACAATACTATAAATCTTATTTAAGATACAAATTTGATGAAACATTTTGGTTGTACTTGCTAAAAGATGAATACCCTCAGCTATGAATTTTTGCTATATAAGAATAATCATTTTGTTTGGGAATACATTTATATGTGAACACCCCCTCCAGCTGAAAATTAATAAGTCCAAAAAAAAATGGGGGGGGAGAAAGAGAAAGAGAACCAGGCTGTCAGGATAAAAATAGTTTCCAGTAATTTTTTTCTCCAAGGCTGCAAACTTTGTCGAAATAGAAATGCCATAAGATGCTGTAGCAGAAAGCTGCAATAAAGGACTTTCTAGTTGCTTTTTGACACATACAGAATATATATAATATGTGTCAAAAATTAATAAGTAAAAAAAAGAATAAGTTGTAATTATTTATTCTAAAGTCCCCCCCCCAAAAGTTTTCATACTTTGTTTATTTTTAGTTTTAAGTTATTTAATGGTTAATTCATCTCATTCGAATTATTTGAAACAAATGTTTAGTCTGAAACTTTAATATTTAACTATCAATATGTTGGAATAACAAAGTGGAACCAGCAGAAATTTTTTGCAGATCACAAACTTTAGACAAAAAATAAGTATAAATTGGAATTTTTTCCTGTGCATCATTATTTATGCTGTTTATGTATGTTTTGATGAATATTTAAAAAACAAAATTTAAACTTTAATGAAAAAAATTTTCAGTGTGGTTAAAACAAAGCCCATCAAGCTGCTTTTAGATTGTGCATTAGACCAGGAATTTGAGTTTTAAACTTTTGAGTTACATCACAAGAGCATATGTAAGGGCTCATGATGATTGCTTGTTATCTTCCTAGAATATCTGTCTTATCTTTCATCATAAAATATTATAATAAATTAAAAAATATTTATGATTGTTTTACAAGACAGTGGCATTTTTCAGCAAAAGAAAATAGTAACTACTGAAATATGAATGATTTGTGACTTTTTTAAATATGTGTATTGTAACTTTCAAACTCGCTGTGGAATGAAATATAGTGTATAATATTTGAAAGACATCAAATTTATTTCAGCACATAAATATGAAATGAATCATATGCATTATGTGTATCAAACGATTAATTTCTCTATTTTAATTCATGCTTGAATGAATAATTTTTCCTCACCGCCGGTATTTTTTATTCTTTCTTCTAACTGTGCAAAATCAAATATTTTTTATTTTAAAGTTTTAACTTCTAAATAAATGTTTTTCTTATTTCTAGATGTCAGTCGCCTAAGTCCTATAAAACAATTGTGTCCACCTTACATAGAATTCAAGCATATTAAAATTGTGATAGCTTTGTTGCAAAGCAAATTTGGTTTAGATGAGATTTCTGTTCCTGCAAAAGAAAGTTTTGTGAAGGAAGTAAGTTTATATATTTGTATTGCTTATTCTCATGTCCAAGCAAATAAGTTCTGAAATAGTTTCATGAACAATCATGGATGGGGTCAGGTGCCCTGTTGTTAATCTTTTACGGGCCATTTGAGATCAACTTCAAAATTCATTTAAAAATAAAATTCCATTTGAAAGAATTGTCATTTCTGATTGAAATATGACTTGATGGAAACATTAAAAAATACATAAATCATTTTTCAGATGTAAAATGAGCAATATACAGAAATTCAGGAAAATGGCCTTTTTTGTCATCTTTCATAGGATATGCGTAAAAAACTCATATAAATTTAAAAAACGATCCAATATTTCTAAAAATCAGCAGACTTAGTTAAGAAGGTTCACTTTATTAAAAAAGCATAAGATATAATAAAAAGAAGAAGAAATTCATTTGCTGAAATTCATTAAACTTCGATGTTCCCAACTAGGAACACCGAACTGTAGCTTCTAGTCTGTAAAAGAGGAAATTTGTCTTATTGTGAATTTTCACTGAAAATGAAACTTTTTTCTTAAATTTTCTCATTAAAAGGAAAATCTCTTTATATTTCAAGAAAGGGAATTCCCATCTTTTGTTTCTTTTGTAGGGAATTCCCTTCTTTTGTTTTTTGTCTCTCTCCATTTCCGTAATTTTGACGAAAGCGAATTTAATTTCTTCTGTGATCTAGAACATTTACTCTTTAGATTTTGTGGTAAAAGGTATTGAATGTTGTCCATGATTTATTATAACATGAAGATGTATTTTAGACACACGAAGGCACAGACAGAAGAAACTTTTGAGTTTTTGATTTAGGGTTCTTAGGGATTCTGATATATCGGAAGTTTCTGATAAACAACTTGAAATTTGTTGGCTTCCTCATGATGAAATTGATTGCATTTCTGGAGAAGAGGACATTGATGACAACATTCTTAGTCTTCTTTTACCTTCTGATGTTTGTGTACACATTAGCATTATTAACAGATTTTCAGTTAGCAAAAACCATTCTGAAGAACAAGTTGCAGAGCCAAGAAAAGTTATTATTATTCTAAAATGGAAAAAAAAAAGTATTGTACACCCAAATCAGATCATCATTAGCATCAAGATTCGTGGCTGTGGTGGCTAGATGACTTTTATATGCAGCATCTCACGGAAAAATGAGCCAGCTTACTCCCCTAGAGTTCCAAAGAGAAGTTACAATTACTCATTTATGGATTGCAGCAAGAAACAATGGATTTAAAACCAGGACCAAAAGTACACCACAATATATCTCCGCAGAAGTGTCATGGTCAACAATAACTCGAGGTAGATACATGCATTATGGCATAAATGCAAGATTAGAATATAATGAGGGAAAAAGAATGTGTTGTATTTAAATTGCTTTCCAGTGTAACATGAAATAAAGCCCTTTTTTTGGGGGGGGAGAAAGAATTTGTTTGTTCAAATTTATAAATTTTCAGCTAAATTCATATCTATGCTTAAATTTAAAATTAAATCCTTCATAATTTCTTATTAATTTGTTTATTATTTAGTCTATCACTATATTCCATTTTTAACACTAGCATAGTAAGCTTAATCAGATGTGGCCAATGTTCCCAATTCAGAATATCATAAAAGTCATATGTTTATTTTTTTTCCTCCTCATTTAAACAACTGATACCCTAACTAAAGCATTAGAAGATGAAAATCAAAACAAAAAAGTAATTAAAAATTAACCTGGATCTGAATTTGGCCTTTAAAAATGTTAACCAAATGTTTTGTTAATGAATGGTGACAAAGTAATTTTACTCACTTCATCTCACTTTAGCCTGAAAACAAATTACTACAGAGTAATTAGAAGTCTTGCATCCTTCTTTCTTTACCCTCAGTCTGTTGAGAGGACATTCAGATATAAGATTTTAAGTGCCGTCATTCCACAAAAATGCTCTACAGTAATGTATGCCCGTGCCTTATCCAATACGTACCTACATGAAATTCCTGCCAAGACATTTACCATCCATGACACTGTACTGTCTAGGTGCTCCCTCCCACACAATGTAAACATCTGAATGCATTTTCAAATCATGTCTTGGAATTTATGTAAGTACATTTTTACTTTCTTGTACGAAGTAAAAAGGAAGTATTGTAATCGTGAAAATTTTCAGGCATCGTAAACTAAAATATCCATTTTGAACGCTATCGAATGCAATTTAACGATGTTTTTGCATGACATCTGTACGTAAGGACAGAATAAAAGACTCTTTTCCACCCAAAAAATTATAAAACTGATTTAAAATGAATTTTAAAGATAATTTTTCGTGGCATCTGTACGTATCTTGCATAACCCAAAAATGAGTAGCCTCAGAAACATTGCATAACCTGCGTATAAAACATGTAGAACTCATTTTTTGAACGTATGTATGTTATAAATATACAGCTATATAACATGGTGCACCTCATCTTTCCAAATGTATATAAATGTATATATATATGCTATCTCTAAGTCAGTGATCTCAGTTCTTTTACTCTTATATGTTTGTAAGTTATGCATTTTTTGCTTTAAAAATGATCGAATTATGTTGTTCTTATCTTCTGGTTAAGGATTTTATGCCTTTAGTAAATCTGCATGCAATATTTGTGGAGTTATCATCAATTTAAAAGTTGTTTAAGTGAAGCTAAGCCTAATTAATTTTGTGATGGCGGACATGTTTGTTTATATTTTAAACTTGGCAAAATAGTGGATTTGTTCCCAATTTAGAGAAACTAAGCTTCACAACAACAAAAATAACACCTTCTTTTATTATTGCGAATTAAATCAGGTTTAATGTCGGGAATTTAAAACTGAATTAATTGAATGAGAAATACTGAATCGTCTGTGAAAAACTTTTTTTTTTTTTTTTTTTTTCCTTGCTTAATTTCTTTTATACATCGTTTTTGATTTATTATAGTATTTAAAAAAAACATGTGGCAATGATTAGATAATTCTTCAAATGATATAAATTTATATGCATTTCTGAGTTATAATATGAATGAAATGTAATGCTGTTAAGTGAACCTAGCGCCAGAGTGTCGCTATGGTAAACAAATATAGTAAATTTTAAAGAGTGCATTTATTTTATTGTGGTTTATGTGCTATCAACGAAGTAAATTAAATTCAATCCAATAAGTTTTGAATGAAATGCAAGAAAAAATGCGTATAATTTAGTATTCCATGCAAGGAAGTCATGTGGTGTACACATCAGATGTTTTATTCTTAAATTTAAAGAACTTAAGTTAGGATTTTTGAAAGTTTTCCAAAAAAAGGTTTAAAAATTACTCAAATATCTGCATTTGCATTTCAAAAATGCAGCTTTTTTAAAAATTTACAAGGAAGCCCTTTTTCTTTTTTTTTTTTTTTTTTTTTTTTTTTTTTTTTAATCCTAAATGTAGTTTTTTAGCATTCGCTGTTTTTAAGCACAATGACCATAATTTACTGTGTTGTTACATGCTTGTGAATAAATTGATTAAAATTTTAAAAAAAATGATAATTGGTGTATTTTATGCTATTTTTAATTCATGAACATATTTTTTATTAGTGTTGCCATAATACCAACTAGATCATACATTAAATGAAACACAAATTTAAAGAAATATCTGCATTTATTATTAAGAATGCATTTCCCAAAATTATAACAATGCTATAAAGATTAAATATTAAGATTGTTATTTGTTTGCTAGGAATTTTGAAATTTGTACATTTGATATATATTTTATGTTTTGCAAAAGAATGAAACTTTGATGACCAGTATGTAATTGACAATATTTTTCTTATTTATTTATTGAAAAAATTGATGAAATTTGAAGTAAAGCATATTTGTTGGTGTAAGTCATTTTGCAACTGCATCTTAAGTCTCCATATTTATAATTTTTTCTGTTCATTTAATTTAAATCATACTCCTGTAATAATAGTAGTTGATGAATTTAATTTTCCCCATAAAAATAGTAGCAAAAGAAAATAAATATAGAATGCAATATTTATTATTAAAAAACTATCTTAAATTAAACAAATAAATTTAAAAATGTTACAACTAATTTTTATTTTGAGTGTTCAGATAGTTTCTGGATTTTTCAATAATTTCATTACTGTATTTTAAACTTTTAGGTAGGATACCTTGGCTGCAAAGCTTTGTGTTCTGTATATGCATAAACTTAAAATTATTGGAGCTATCGTCCTTGACTCCTTCCAGCATAACTTGTTGAAAAATCATGTTATCCAGTATTTGGAGAGAAAGATTAACGAAGGCTATGTTTATTGCTTCTCTGCGGCCTCTTCTGCTAAGAAGAATATGTCTAAATTTTTTAAGTTTTCTTTCATAATCTTTGCATTTATGTTCACAGTTTTATTTTTAAATCAATCAAAAGATTCACCTCAGTTATTGCACCTTTCTGCAATTTTTAATATTTCCTTTGGTGTATCAAGAAATGGCAATCACAACTTGGATCTTTGCCTGAAAACTTCCTTTTTTTTCAACTTACTTTCACAACAGGTTGATATTCAACTGAAATAAAACAATGATTTCGATCAGTGGATGAAATTAGAAAAAAAGTTATAATTTGTAGTAATTAGATTAACCTAAAAATTGAAAGTTGTGTCAAAACCATAGCAGATGTCATGAAACATTGATTTTGTTTGAGGTCTCTGCAATTTTGCACTCAACATAATTTACAGTTGTGTTTGCCAATAATTCCCATTTAAATATTCACTAAACTATTTTTATGGGACAGAGTAAGTACAAGACAGAGGTTTAATAAATTTTTAACTAACAGAAATATTTATTCAAAATTATATCTCACCATTTATTGTTGTTAAATTATTATATTTGTAATTTGTTGAGACATTTAGTTATCTCTCTTTTTCTATTTTGTCACTAATTAAGTTTTGAAGGGAAAAAAAACTTCTTGGACATAAATATGATAATTTAACAGTGTTTCTTAAGTCAGTGGTCTCAAATGGATGGCTCACGAATGCATTTCCCGTAATTTAATTAATTTTATTATGATAAATAAATAGAGGTTTAAGGTTTTAATGGTTTAATAGTGCACTTTTATATTATTTTCATAGCCATTAAAAATGAATGTGAGTAACACTTCAGAAAATCTACAAATGGAGCTAATTAATTTACCAGTGTGATATAAATCTTATTCAAAGATATGAAGATGCAGATTTGATTAACCTTTTTTTGCACATATCAAAAGATAAATGCCCTCAATAATGAATTTTTGCAGTAATAATAACCAATTTCGATGGAGACTTTGTATGTGAACAGTTTTTTTTAACATAGCTGTTATTTTTTAATTAATAAGTTTAAAAAACAAACCTGGCTGACTGATGCAAATCATGATGCAGATAGTTTCTAGTATTTTTTTATCCAAGATTAGAAAATTTAATGAAATCAAAGTACCATGAGAGTCGTAGCTGAAAATTGTAGTTAGAAATAAAAGAATTCATAATCCTTTCATACAAATCCGGTTGTAGTGAAAGTTTTCTGCAAAAAAACATTCTTAACCCGTAACTGGGGAAGTGCAGTCTCTGAGTCTACAGGTGTTGTTCCTATCACCCTTATTCTATATTTAGTCTGATTGAGTGGATTCTCCTGCTAGCTTTTCCTTTTGTGACCTTGATAATTCTCACATATTGGCTAAAATTTTTTGCACCAGCTTCATTGTGAAATTCTACTCCGTTGTCTGAGAGCGGTATGTCAGACCGCACCTCCCTCTAAGTGTTACAATTTCTGTCTCAGGTGGAAACATGGCTCTGAGACTGGGCCCGAGAAATATCATATATCCTTCTAATTCGTGTTATGCAGAAGTGCTGTAAAGAATTCTTGATGAAGTGGAAAATGAATTTAGCGATGAAGATGAATGCCAAGAAGATTTTGCAAATGAAAGTTCGCATTCCACGACATTAGAATTTTCTGAATCTGACAATGAATGCACTGAACCAGAGACTGAATCCATTTCATCTATAAAATATTATTATGGGAGGAACCGCTTCAAGTGGTCATCTATTGAACCTCAATGAAATGTGTTGAACTCCCATGCATATAATATATTTCATCTTCCAGGATTAAGAGCATATGGAAAATTGGGTGAAAATATGGATCCTAAAAGCGTTTGAGAAGTCCTTTTCACAAACGAAATATTAGAGAAAAAGAAAGAACTGAAAACTTCATATTTATGCATAAGTTGTAAAATGCCAGTTTGTTTGGTATGTACACAAAAATTATGTCATGAATGTGCACATAAATATGCTGCGTAAGTTGATATCTTTTGTAAGAACACAATGGTATTACTGATAGTAAGTTATTGTCATTTTTTTTTTTATGTTTCGTACAATATTTGTATTTTTCATCTGAATATATCTATCACATGTTAAATTAATGGAAAGTAATTATTATTCATAAAAAAATAATAGTTGTTCTGGTTTGTTTTGCATAATTTACATTTGCAAGAGGTTTTTCATATAAAAAAAAGTTCATGTTGCAGAAAAGATGTTCCTAGTGTTCATTGATTTCTTTGTAAAATAATTCCCCCCGCCCTCTCTGTTCAAAGATAAGTGTGTATAGAATGTATGGGTAAAGTAAAATTTTAATATTTTGATTAGAACATTTTATTTACACCATAACGAGACGTGGTCTCTGTGACCGCACATTCCCGGTTATGTCCCAATATTTGACCTCCCCTGTTATGGATTAATAAAGTTAGAAAAGGAGAAAAAAAAAATGAAAGTAGTACCTTTAGTGCAGGTAATAATCATCACCCAAATCTATGATTTTCTGCCAATGTTTTGATAGTTTTTCAAAGCTTTCGGCCAAGAAACTTAGTGGTCGTGAGTCCAAAAAGCAGATCAACCTCATTTCAGACATTCTGTGCAGAATGGAAGACAGCACTAGCAAGATGTAGCTGCAGGTGTGAAAAAAAAGTAGAAGTCCGAAGGAGTGGTGTTGGGGCTATATGGTGGTTGTGGCAAAAGATCCCATTTGAGTCCGTACTGAGTCTGGCCAGTGAATGCAGACACATGTGGTCTTGCATTATCTTGCCAGAACATTACCTTTATCCACTGGGAACTTTCCTCGATAGCAGTGTCAACACAGACCAGCGTCTTGCTGTACACCTTACTGTTGTGGGTTTTACCTTTTTCCAGATACTCTTTGTGGATAATACCACAGCAATCCCACCAAATAAAAAGCATTATCTTTTTTTTAGTCAAATTGCACTTTGCAATGCTGCCGATGGGCTCACCAGATACAGACTAAGGCTGCAATCACATGCCTGTTTCTTTCAGAAGAACAACTGTTTCTGCTTTGTCACAACAGCCAATCACCATAAATCACTTTGGGGTTAACACAGGGAAAACTGGTTCCCTATTACAAACAAGCTGATAACATTCGAAGCTGATAGCTGATTGGTTGAAAATGAACAACTAGCAATTTTTTTCAAAAGGAAGGAAAAAGTTGCATGTCTTTCTTTCAATGGTAAACCAGGCAGAAAAATTGTCCAAAACAATTTTTTGTGTGAAACAAACGCTGAGTGATATGGGCCTAATCCCCTTTTCAGCCTGTGTTGTTGAAGTAAATCCACTTTTTATCACATGTGACAATCCGGTCCAGAATTTTATGCTTGCATTGATATTTGAGCAGATTAGTGCAGGCCCAAACACATCTGTCCTTATCTGCTTGAGTCAGCTTATGTGGCACCCATTGACTGAACTTGTACTTCAAGTTTATACATAGTATGGCTAATGAACATGGCACTGATGTCTAACTTCTTAGCAAGCTCTCGAGTGGTTGTACACTGATCTTCTTTCACAAGTTCTTGCAGGCGGGCCTCATCAACATCAGTATGCCGGCCAGAGCACTCTGCTTCTTCAGATCATAGTACTTGTTTTACAACTTTCAGTACCGAATCTTCACAGTATCATATGATTCAGCATTAGTACCTAAAGCTGTACACATGATTTGGTGACATTCTGTAGCTGACTTTTTGCAACAGAACTATCTGATAGCATGATAGTTCCATTTCAGACATATTGTACTTAGAGATAACAATATATTTTTACAAATTTCACAACAGTCTTTTTTCTTTCAAACGCCAAAAATTTTTTTGACAAAATGTAATTAAACACACCAGCACAAACTGTTTTGCGCAGACAATATTTGCAGCAGCTGGAATCTTTCGTTAAAATCCGATATATGTTTTTCTCCCCTGTATATGTCAAAAAGTAAGTTATTCAACTTATTAGAATTATTTGAAATAAATTTCAGCGAGAAAGCTTAATATTTAGTTATCTATACATTTGAATTGCAAAGCATAATTAACAGAAATTTTTTGCAGTATCAACCCTCAGGTTTCAGGCAGAAAATAAGTTTAAATTGGACCTTTTCCTTTGTGTCATTGTTGTTACTACTTGTTTTGATAAATATTTAGTACAAATAAAAATTTTTATTTAGCTAATAAAATAACCCTTTTATTTTTGTTTAAAAGAAATCCTCCCGTAAGTTGAATCGAGCATCAATTTATATAAATATATATAAAATTTCAAGACTTTTTTAAACAGCGGCAGGAATATTTAACTTTCTAATTGATTGATATCTTGTCTAGAATTATGAGTACAAGGCAATGGATACTGTGTTAAATCTGTAGTGCTCACAGGGCTGTGGGTACATTTAAAGGTAGCTTCTAAAAGCTAGAGACATCTTGAATGTTAATCTAGATTTCATTTTTTTTATTTCTTGAAAAATGGCTGTAGTGACAATAATGATTGCTGAAGATTACAGAATTGTTATTTTAATTAGTGTTTGTCACTATATATACGGTTTGAATATGAGACCACGGCATTAAGTATCAGTGTTATGTGAATAGTTATTTACTTTAGATGTTGACTGAAGGATTCTTTCCTCTTTCAGAAATCACCATTTGAAGCAAAACAGAATGTAAGTAATAGTCCAGAGGATAAGGAAAAGGTTACATTTCCAAAAAGGAAAGAGAGTGCATCCATTCCAAATGGTTTTGAATCTTCCAATGTGAAACGAATGAAGACCAATAAGCTTTTTAAACTTTAATTACTGTTGTTGTTATAATGCATTTATATAAAGTTCAATTGTGAATCATTTGTAATTTATATCAATTCATCAAAGAACTTGGAATTTTCCAAGCATTTGTACAAAGTCATTAGGTTTTTAAAGTTGGCTGTAAGCACGAATAATTTTATGAAAATGTTATATGTGGCAAAATGTTCTTTAGTGCTGTTTTTGTATATCAAATTTCATCTATTATATAAAAGTTTATATATATATATATTTATATATATATTTATATAAATATATATAAAATTTCAAGACTTTTTTAAACAGCGGCAGGAATATTTAACTTCTAATTGATTGATATCTTGTCTAGAATTATGAGTACAAGGCAATGGATACTGTGTTAAATCTGTAGTGCTCACAGGGCTGTGGGTACATTTAAAGGTAGCTTCTAAAAGCTAGAGACATCTTGAATGTTATTCTAGATTTCATTTTTTTTTATTCTTGAAAAATGGCTGTAGTGACAATAATGATTGCTGAAGATTACAGAATTGTTATTTTAATTAGTGTTTGTCACTATTTGCAGATCTGACCAAACGATAAAATATGAAAAATTAGATTTCTCTTTCTTCCTTCAACAGTGGTATCATTATGCATTTCCCTTAATTACTTTCATGTACTTTGCCATTATTAAAATATGTAATTAAATTCAGTCTTAAACTTCATCTTTGTTAAAGTTCTTAAAAATCTGTATCTCTATATATGAAAGACTGTTAATTGAAGTGAAATTTTTAATGTGTTCTAAAAATTAACTATTTTATTTCAGGAAATTTTTTTAATAAACCTAAATTTATGTATAAAATGATTTTTTTTTAAATTCTTTCTTGAGTGAAATGACCAAAATTTCATATTAGCTTGTTGTGTGGACTATTTTTATTTTATCCGTATCTTATACCCTGTTCTGAAAGTTCTGAGCTGCCTTTGCGATGCTGAAGTATAACTCAGTTCCTAGACAACTTGCACATAAACCCAAATAAATCTGAACTCAAGAAGGAGCTATAAAATGAAACATAAAATCATTCATAAATTGCATATATTTGAATTAAAGAATCCCCAAACTGCACAGTGGGGATGACTTTATGAATAACATCGATGGAATACTTATAAGAAGTGATCACATTTAACATATTTTATGTAAAGAAAAAAGTGAGAATATGATATATTTTAGTACTCCCATGCAAATTGTGTGTTATATATCCATGTATGATGTATGTAGTAACTAATTATTTCTTGTATGCAAATGATGAGTCTCATCAGTATGAAGTCATCTTTGAAGCATTGTGTAAGATCTTTCATTCCAGTTCACATGAATAAACTATTTAAAATAAATTCCATACTCATCTGTGATTTCTGTAAAATATTTTTAAAATTGTGAAAGATTGCTTAAGTACTTAATATGTGCTTTTCTGAATAAAATACACATTTGTATTATTTGTTATGAATTAGAATATAAAAATTGTGCAACAGATGACAACACAAATTATAAGTTAAAAAAAATAAGATAAATAAGTTTTTTTTCCTCTAATCTGCATCGAGGTAAAAAAGCAGACGATTCACTCAACTCACGTTGTTGTATTTTCTGAACTTTGTTATTTCACAAGATTGTTTAGTGCTGCCTTTTTTTTTTTATCTGGATATTTTGTGGATCAATTAAGAATATTTTAAATTTCAGCCTTTTTTATACAATGACAGATAAGAAACACACTCATGATTTTACTGCTTGCAACATTGAAAAACGTAAACACATTGCATTGACGGTAATGCAAAAGATGGAGGCAGGTGCTCAATTTATAGCAGAATGGTATGGAATTGCGACACAATTGTGTATGATATATGGAAAAATAAAGAAAAGCTGTTAAATTTTACAGCAACAGTCATTCTAACACCGGAATCAAAAACCGGAAATCTTTGCATGAGGCGAAATCAGCAAACCTCGATGCTGTGTATATATAATACAATGAATAATATAGTCAATTTATATATGTAAAATTAATTTAATGAATATAATAAATTATTGCAATAATGTATATAATAATTTAATTAAATGTATCTAAATACACCTTATTTATTTTGCACTTTTTGTCCGAATATTATGCTTTATCTTTTCTGTCCTAAAATCCGCACAACCTCTGGTCCCAAGCTTTGCGGATTTCTGGACTTCTACTGTATAAAAAAAATATCACCAAGTAACGGAGTTAAGGCGCCAAACAACATGGTTTTGATTTTATTTAACGATTTAAAATTAGGGAGGGGGAAACCTCAGTTTGACCTAGATTTTCAGTAACTCTGTTGAGTTTGAAGGTGATAAGATGTAGGTCTCTTTTCTTCAGAACAAAACATTTCTGCAAATTATTTTTTCTCTTTAAAAAAAAAAAAAAAAAAAAAAAAAACCACTTATATACATTTATGCCATACTAAGGTTGCTTTTTTGTGTAGCTTTAAATTTTGCTTTGCCATGCTTTCTTCCAGTAAGGGAAGGGATGTCACGAGTATTAAAATTAAGAGCACAGCATCGGTCAAATAATTTCTAGAAATATTATGAACAATTCATAGATGAACTTGTGCAATAAACATTGTAATCAGTTCATAAGCAAACTTTTTTCTTTATTTTATTTAAAATGCTTTGAAAGTAAGCAGTTTATATGTTTCTAGTTCTATTCATATTCAGTTAGTTAAATTCCATTGGTATTTTGAAGGATATTATTATTTTTTTTAATGTTATGAAAATAGGTGGGGACGAATGTGGACACATTAAGTGGCACCTTCTGTATCTCCTTTCTGAGTTTTTTTACAAGTCTTTTATTGCATATATATGTTAACATTAGTTAGGTGGCTTAAAACATCTTATAAGTTTTAATATAGATATGATTTTATTTAGGTTAATTGGTTTACCAATAATTAAATTGTAAAGAATACTGAACATTGTTAGTTGAACTCAGTTTCAAATGCAGGTAGGTAGTTATGGTAGCCTGAATGTGAAGCCCTAAAATGCCCTCCACAAAAGTATCCATACTTTGCCCCATTGACTTCTAAGGAGATAAACAAATCATTCTTCATATGATGATGAGCTTATAGCTTTAGACAGTAGCAATTTATGATATAGAATATTAGTATTTGTCTTGGGTCTTTAAAATTAGACCACAGTAAATTTTAATTAATTTTCTTTGAACCATATAGTTTGCGTAAGGAAGTATAAATTTTGTCTTCATAGAGATAACAAAATCAAAAGCATAGATTGAGAAAGGTTTCTTAAACTTTCAGCTATGTAAAAAGCCTTGAATTCTTTTCCAAATAAAGTATACATGATATTTACATATGTGTATTATATTTATGTGATAGTATTTTAACATGGTGTTCTTGAATTCAAACAGCAAATTCAAAGGGTTGATAGTCATCAAGAGAATAAAAATTCACCATAGAACTTGGGATGGCAAACCACGTTCAGTCAGTGAAAATCACAAAAATTGACACCGAGAGAACGGTGAACCTGATGAAGAGAGTGGCCAGACAGATGCAAGGATTAGGATCACTGTGGTCCAGAAGAATATAACTTCTCATATGCAAACTTCCAAAGCTAATGGAGAAAATAAAAGTACATACTTTCAATGAGACTGTGCTACACGTTGGTATTAACATCTGAGCAAGGATTGTTGGAGGTCATCTGATAGATCTGTACCTTCTGCCCAAATGCCTGAATGGTGCAAATTACCTTGTTTTCTGATAACACGTCCTCTCAGATTTGATGTAGAGAATACCGGCCACTGTGTGCCAGAATATGTGGTTTATGCATGATGGTGCACTAGCACATTATGAGATTGCGGTACATAATCACCACAAGGGTACACATCCAAGGAGGTGGCAGACCTGTTGTTTGGCTTCCACACTTCCCAGACCTCAATCCATTGGATTTCTCCATCTGGTGCAACCTGAAATTGGTTGTTTTATCAGATGCCTGTGAATACATTGGAGGATATAACAGCACAGATCGGCATTGCTACAGCAGACAGCACTAATGCTGCGGGTATGTGTGAACACGCCCAGCAATCCTTCATCCATCAGTGTCGGATGTGCAATGACATATGCGACTGCAACTTCAGTATGATAGCTTTCATCATGTTATGGGTACCATTCATTTTCCAAAGACACATTATAGTGTGCAGTCTTTAGTTTTGACTTAGTTGAATGTATAGTAGATGCATGCGACTTGACTCTAAAAACACATCTTCATTCACAATTCAGTTTGATTGATTATTTACAAAGTTCTCAAGTCGTCCACGTGTACTGCTTCATGTGAATTTTCCTGAGATTTTAAATATACTTCATTCATATAAATATAATTCATGTTATATTTCCCAATGGATAAGATAAATAAGGTAGTTTAATTCAAAAAAATTCAGCAATTGTTAGGAACAAATTTTGATGCTAGCAAAAAATCTCCAAGATAATTAATCCAAAAAAGCAATCCTACACAATATACTACAGAGGATGTTTACATCATTTTTAAATGATTTTGGTGAGGTTTAATAAATGTTTACGATGTATAGAGTATTTTTTAAATGTTCAATCTGATAGCTGGCTGAATGATCTTTTTCCTGAACTGTCAAGTCTGCATCATCATTTCCATGATAGAAGGGCTTTTCATAAAATTTCCACTGCATACGAGAGTAATTCAATCGTGGTGGGTTTGCATTTAGAAATAGCTGTTTTCAAGAGACCAAATGAGCAATAGAGAACATGTGAAACATCAGGAAACTTCGCAGGATTATGTTGAAAGAGTATATATGTAATACCTGTATCCATGTTTTCAAGGAATGCAGTGGTATACTGCGCAAAAAAGAAAATGGGACTCTACTACCATTCTACTGGGCTGATCGACAAAATTCAACTTGCGTTTTTCATGTCTCGAAAGCGCGACTTAGCATATGTATTAGATTTATGTATAGCATTGTTCTAATATAGGTATTTTGACACAACATCAGACATTTCCTGAAATGACATGCCAATCTTTTTCATATTTCGATTCTACGACTTAAATTACATCAAACTGCCAAGTTTTGTAAAAGTCGCACAAGTATTTTTTAAAAGATTAGCTCTCAAAAGTTTAACTCCTCAATGTTAATTGAATTTGGTATATATTTATTAATCTCTCTTTTTTTATTAAATTTATTTGATTTTTTTTTCACATTTCGAAATTTCAAATTAAATTCCACCATTTTTTGTGATGAATTTAGTAAATAATTATTATAATTTTTTTCGAAGATTATAATCTATAAAATTTTTACCATCATCTTAAAGTAGATGTATTTCTAAGCACACCCGAGAAAAATTAGAATTTTTTGTTCAAAATTTCCGAAAATAACGTGAATTTATATACTGGCGCGTTTTGAAATTTGGCATATTTGTTGGAAGCGATAATAACATAACACATTTTTCACTCAAAGTCATTGAAAGTCGTGAAAGTAGGAACGATGTGTCTTTTTTTTTCCCGCCTCTGCAAAATGTAGAAAGAGAACGGAAAATAGTTTGCCATATATTAAGATGTTCGCCAAGTGAATTATTCTTGGCGAAAACTGAAAAAATGTCCCAAGATAAATTTTGAATTTCTCCATAAGTTTCGCATCAAATTTTACAAAATTTAATATTTAGGCATAATTTGAGTCGTAGAATTGAAATATGGAAAAACATTGGCATGTCATTTCAGAAAAAGTCCGATTTTGTGTCAAAATACCTATATTAGAACAATGCTATATATAAATCTATAATATATATCCTAAATCGCGCTTTCGAGACATGAAAAATGCAATTTGAATTTCGTCAATCGGCCCAGTAGAACGGAAGATGCAAAACTGTCCTCCCCCCCCCCCGTAGTTTTCTTTTGAAATATGACTTGTTCCTTTGGATCACTGAAGTTTCACTCTTTGAAAGTCATGTAAATATTGGAGGTAAAACTTTTTTTTTGATAATGCATTGAGTTTATTTAACTTTTCCCCCCTACTCATCTTTTTTTTTTTTTTTTTTTTTTTTTAATTTTTCATTGTAAGAGTATCTTTTGATGATCATAAACGCTTTATTCGAAATATTCTTTGCATTGACAAAACCAGCTTCATACCTTTTTTACCCTTCGTTTTCGATAATACCGTATTTTACGGACTATAAGGCGCACCTTAATTTTTAAGCAATTTTTCTTTAAAAATGAAAAAAAAAAAAAAAAAAAAACATTTTTATTATAAGATTGCAAAGCCAGACTTAAAAAAAAAAAAATCTCAGTTTATAAAACTGAACTGACTTTTAAAAATCTCTGAAAATCGTCATCTGAACTTTCTTCTTCT